TAGTTTAAGGAGAGACAATTAATTAAGTTACCTTAAATTTTGCATTTTCGGTAAAAAAAAATCCATTAAAATTAATTGAAGTTGAAAATTTTTGTTATCTCCATTTTAACAATTAAAAATTTATATCGATATCATTATTTTGCAACTGACAAAAGGTTGTAGGACAAATAATTTGTAGCACCGGCTATATTGCCGAAATAGTCGAATTCGCGAGACCATTTCCTTTTTAATGCTTTCCTTATAACGATAAGTCAAAATATGATTGATGAAACTTAGCTCTATTTATATTGAGAATAATAACAAAATATCCTATAAAATATTTGTACAAATGAAATTGGTACGTAATACATATTATCATTGTAATTACTAAACCAAACCAACAACATTAACATAATGTTATTATTACTATTATCAAAAACATAAAAAATTTTTGGAAATTAAATATTGGAAATAAGAAGATATTTGAAATTGATATCCAAGCTTTATTTGACAATGTCCTCTTTTATTCATCATTCATGTGATCAAAAAGATAGTTGGCTGCTAATTCCTCATTTCGATCACATGCAAGAAAAGCCTCGATAGCATGTGCTCTATCAAATCCCAAAGCTTCCAACTGAAAAATGGATCAATTGAAATTTTTATCGTTAGCATGCAATCACACCTTCAAATACCGATAATAAATAGGACTTACTCTATCAATCGCTTCCTTTTCTTCCTGGGTAACAGAAACGTAGTGAGGGGAAGGAAGATTTCCTTCACCTGTTGTCGGTTGATCGCCCGAACTTTCATTCAAAAGCTCCAGAAAAGTTTGTTGATTGGCATTAATAAGCTAAAAAATATTTAAATAAATATCAGACAACAATAGGAGGAGGAGGAGGAGTATTATTATTATTATTATTATTATTATTATTATCACTTTATACCTGTAATAGTTGAGGATTTGATTGCCCAATTTGTTGAAGCAATGGTTGCAAAAGTGCGGGATTTTGTTGGACAACCTGTCGCAATTGCTGAAATTGCGGATGATTTCTTAAAAAATTTAAATCATCCGTATTACTGTTGTTGTTGTTGTTGTTGTCATTGTTATTACTATTGTTATTCCCTTGTTGCTGTTGAGAAGCAGCCAGCGCAGCTCGTTGAAACAGATTTTGAGGTTGTGCTGCTAAAATTATTTTTTTATTACGATAAATCTTAATGAACAAATTATTCAACAAACAAAAACCGAAATATATTTGGACTGACATACATGCCGGGGTAGAAGCTGTATTTGAATTAGGGGAAGGATCTAGAACTGTTACAGGTGCAGATAACTGTGTTTGTCCACTAGTGGGAGCAGATTGAGTGGTAGATTCCACAGTTTCAGGAATTCCCTAGTTAAAAATAAAATAATGGTGAGATTAAAAAACATAACCGAATTAGAAGCAAAAAAAATAAATCAATGAACGTACAGTCATCAAATATTCAACAGCTCTATCAGGATTAAAATAGCTAGCACGCAACGCTCTCTCTACTTCATGACGATCAAATCCCATTTCCATAATACTTTGTATTGTACTTTCAAGCTCATCTCCGGCGACTTTTTTAAATAAACATAAATAATTAATAAAAATTTTAATTTAGTAATTATCTTGCAATAATTTCATCGTCTACCAAAAGCACTAGCATTGCCCCACATTTGCGTTGGTTGTGTAGGTTGTGAAGGCTGTGAAGGTGTAGAAGCTGGGGGAGACGTTGGAGTTGGGGCTGGAAGAGGATTAGTCTGGGTTGAAGTGGGAGCTGTTGATGGAACAGGTGTTGATGAAACTTCAGGGGCTGGCGCAGGTGGAGGTGGATTTATTGTGGCCGGGGCTGGTACATTAGGGGAAGAAATGGGTTGAGCCTTTTCCGTAGTAGATGAACTTGAAGCAGGTTTTGACTATTAAATATTAAATAATAATCCGTAAGAACATTTAACTCGTGTCTAATAATTGTTATCAAGGAATGGATTACATACAACTTTGGATACCATTATAACTAGAAAATCTTTTTCGAAGATATTATATTCGGATATGGGTTTATCATCTGCAAGTATTTTGCCTAAATTGAATAATTAAAATATGAAAAATGTGAAAATTATCAATATGATGTTTATTTTGTGAAAATGCTAGTAATAATATATTATATACTGTAATGCATATAGTGAAACAATTAATTATATATAGAGATTGGGTTGAACCTGAAAAAATGAGCTTTTGAAGAGATACTGGATATCCTTGAGATTTTTCAATTTTTTCCTTTAAAGTTATAATCTGGAAATAAAAGGCATATAAGAATTGTATACTTATTTTCAGAAAATACACAAGTAAATCCAAGAAAAGTCAAAAGGCTAGTATGAAAAAAACCTGATCTTCGAGTTCCACATCGATTGAAAACGTTTGATGTTGCAAAGTTTTAATTGTTAACTTCATTATTAGACTAATTTTGTCTTCGTTCTAGCAAAGTAAGTTTTCAAATACATGTATAAATTCTTTGAGATGGCTTACGTGGCGATGACGATTTTATGATCTTCCGAACAGAGACCCGGAAAAATATTGATTTGCATAGATCTGTATAATTTTAGCTCAATACAATGATTTGATTGGCTATAATCAAGCATAGATCACGTTGTTTGACTATTAGAATTACAAACGAACAGTGCTTCGGGACAGTGCTTAATCACGTGCCTTTTTCCGAGCCAGTACGGTGGGTCACGTGTAAAGCTTCTAATCAGGTGATAGTGTATTCACAGGTTACACGTTCAACGACAACAATGCCATCATGACTACATAATGGCACCAAAAGTTAATTAGAAAGATGATATATTAAAGCATACATTAATCGATTATTACAGTGCAGAACACTTAAAGACGCCAATCACGTGACTTTTATCATTTTTGATTCCAAATTTAAATGGACGATTTCCAATCACTTGCAAACAACCACGTGATTTTTATAAGATACGTATCATTTGCTAAGTGATTTATTGCAATAATCAATAAATAACAAAACGTAACTCATAAATATAAATCATATTATTTTTTCATTAATCATTAATTATATAAAAATAAGATCAAATAATTCTTAGAAAGATGAAGATTATTGTTAATCATCAAATTTTATAAAATTATAATATATTATAATTTATCTTAATCATATAGAAAATAAGTAGAATATTTCTCTAATTATCTAATATTTAATATTCCTTTATTATTATATTTGCATTAATATATTAATTATAAATTTTTCTGATATTAATCTAGAAAAGATTATATAATTAAATATTATTCCAAAGCATACATGCATTTACTACTATTTATAAACTTTTTGAATTAAATTATATAATAATTAATAATTTAATTTATATAATATTATATTTCAATATTAATTTAATTAATTGAATTTTTTATTTTTTTACTAAAAATAAAATTATAATTAATTAGCTATTATAATTAATTATAATTAAATAATAATTCTTTAATTAACTATTTACAAATTGCAATTAATTAAAATATTATCTTTATTTTAATTAATAAATTTGTATAAAATTAAATAATCATATATATATAATAGCAATCAAAAAGAATGGAATGCTAAAACAAATTTATTAATAAAATATAGTAAAAATATGAAAAATACAAGTTTTTCTTTTTATATAAAAATTTTTAATTTTACTAATAAATATTTTTATTTTACATTAAAATGAAAATAATATTACATATTTTAACATTTATTTTTTACAGATTTTTTAAATTTAATCTGATAAAACTATTCTAATTGTATATAAAATTAATTGTTTTTTAATAATATAAATATATAAAAAAATAATTAACTTTATATGCAATTAGAATAGTTTTATCAGATTAAATTTAAAAAATCTGTAAAAAATATATATTAAAATATGTGATATTATCTTCATTTTAATATAAAATAAAAAATATTTATTAGTAAAATTGAAAACTTTTATATAAAGAAAAAAACTTGTATTTTTCATATTTTTACTATGTTTTATTAATAAATTTGTTTTAGTATTTCATTCTTTTTGATTGTTATTGTATATAATATATAATATAACAATCAAAAATAATATAACAATCTCAAAATTTATTAATTAAATATAATAAAATATAAGTTTTTCTTTTTATATAAAAATTTTTAATTTTACTAATAAATATTTTTATATTAAAATGAAGATAATATTATATATTTTAATATAAATATTTTTTTCAAATTTTTTTTAGATTTAATCTAATAAAACTATTTTAATTATATATAAAATCAATTATTTTTTATAATTAAAATATATAAAAAAGTAATTAACTTTATATATAATTAGAATAGTTTTATTAAATTAAATTTAAAAAATATATATATAAAAATATATAATATTATATTTATTTAATATAAAAATAAAAAATATTTATTAGTAAAATTAAAAACTTTTACAGTGACAATCTGAAATAATGCAACAATATCAAAATTTATTAATTAAATATAGTAAAATATGAATTTTTTTCTTTATATAAAAGATTTCAATTTTACTAATAAATATTTTTATATTAAAATAAAGATAATATCATATTTTAATATATATTTTTTCAGATTTTTTAGATTTAATTTGATAAAGCTATTTTAATTATATATAAAATTAATTATTTTTTTATAATTAAAATATATAAAAAAATAATTAACTTTATATATAATTAAAATAGCTTTATCAATTAAATTTAAAAAATTTAAAAAAGAATATATATTAAAATATATTATATTATCTTTATTTTAATATAAAAATATTTATTAGTAAAATTGAAAACTTTTATATAAAGAGAAAAATTCATATTTTATTATATTTAATTAATAAATTTTGACATTATTGTATTATTTTTAATTGTTATTATATATAAAGAAAAAATTCTAATAAATTTTAATATTGTTATATTATTTTTAATTATTACTATATATATTATAATTATTTTTCAAATAATAATTATTTTAATAATTAATTTTATTTAAAATATAATAATAATTTCTTTTAATAATATAATTTTTCTGAAATAAAATAAAATATTATAAGTAAAATATAATTAAATATATTAAATAAATTATTTATATTTAATTTAGAACTTGATATTTATATTTAACAATACAAATAAAGTTTTAATATTTTTTTAAATTAAATAATTATTATAAATAATATAATTAAATTATTATTGAATAAAAATTAATTTTAATTCTAATTTAAAAATATATAAATTTGATTTATAATATTTTTATTGATTGATTTATATTTTATATATTAATTAATTATATATATTTATTAACTTTTTTTATTAAATTATACTAATAAATATTTATTTATTAAAATAATAATTTGGTAGAAAAATATATTCTTTTACAAAATAAAATTAAAGACTTAAGAAATTAATATCTTAAGTTTTAAAAATGAATATTATTATTTACTATTTTTTTAATTATTAAATTTCAAGTTATTTTTTATTTATAAATATTTATTTATTTATTTTATTAAATAATATAAGTTATTAATTATTTTATTATTTTATTTTATTATTTTATTAATTATTATTGTTTTATTAGTTCTTGATTTTGATTATTATTTATTTAATTTATTTAATATATAATAGCAATTAAAAATAATGGAATGCTAAAACAAATTTATTAATAAAACATAGTAAAAATATAAAAAATATGAGTTTTTCTCTTTATATTGCTACCGTTTCTAGTTCTTACGTATGAGAATATTTAGAAATGATTAACAGCGACTGTGTTCACGGCAGATTTTAAATAAGAGAGATATAAATGACGAAAGTGGATGGTTGACAATAATAA